TGAGTTAGGTTCCCCAGACAAGCAGCAAAGGATCACATGGGAACTAAAACTGAAAGTTCTCAGGTTCCATACTACAGTTACTGAATCAGACACTATGGGAAAGAGACCCAGAGATCTGTGCTCTAATAAAACATCCAAAGGATTCTGATGTCTGCTAAAGTTTGACAATCACTGAACTAAATCTTTGCATATTTCTTTTGGGTTTTTTTTTTTTCAAGGCCTGTTGAACTCTGCTAAGTGGCTGGTATACTGCCAGTAAAGCCAAGGATAGGTCCTAGCAACCAAGCACCTATAATGTGCAAACAATCTTCTTCCATGTCTCTAGAGAAAGCAGCCACACTATGCTTTAAATCAAACTAACTAAAATCTAGGCATTACTTGTATAATAATCAGATAGCACTGTTTCTTTACAACACCCTTCATAATTGTTTCTGAATTCCTCAGAATTCTTTAAATAAGCACTATTTATAATATATTTTTACCTGGCCTGAAAGATAAATCTACATTAAGCCACAAAAACTGTCTGAACCCTCTAACAATTCTACTGGGTATCACATACTTCCCTGTATGAAAGTAATGATTGGCATTAAAAAAAAAAAAACTCATGGTATTCTGGCATACAATTTGTAAAAATTAATTCAGTACTATATTATAGTCAATTAGATATATGAATTCATATATACTCTGGTTCAAATCGTATCCCTTATGACATAAATTTCCACAGTATCATTTTTAGCTTCCATATTAAACACATTATACCTTATATGAAACTATTTGCGTAGGACATTTTGCTCTCCTACCAGACTAAGTTGCCTGAAGACAGGTCCTCACTTAACTCCTTCTGTGTCTAAAACATACAGCAGGTGTTGCTCACTCAGTTAAAAAGTATTTGGTGAGCTGCTATAGGCCATTGCCTGTACCATATCATAGAGGATAGCTACAAAGATAATACACATACATGGTCCATGTATTCATGGTACTAAATACTGAATGAGTAAACACCACAAAAACTACAGTGAAAGTTTGAGGGCGGTCTGTATGAACTACCTGGCTTGCCAACCTGACAGCCGAAATAAAGCTACTTTCTTCAAAAAAGTACCCTATTACTGATCTTCTGATTCAAGTTGCTTATATTTAAGGTCATATGGCCATAAATTTTAGAGAAAATATATTAACTACTAAATAGTGAAGCTGACTTTATTTTAATATGAATATAATAATATAAACAGATGTCCTATGCACAATGCAAGGTTTTACTGACAACTAAATTCCCACATGGGAAAGGCAGGCTAAGGTTTGTTATTCATATCCAAATAACCCAACACAAAGCTACAATTTGCCAATTCTCAATTCCTTAGAGAACTGAAAGGGAAGTAATTTTACTCAAAATAATCTGACTCTCTGGCTCTAGACTGAGAAATTAACCTCAAGGTGAAATATTGCACACTTGTAAAACAAATACAAGAGAAATAGTTGTCTACCAAATAAAAAGCATTTGTCCAGAAATTTTCTATACCACACGTACATTCTGCTAATTGTAGCTACCTCTATAGAGTGTACATCTGAGGAAGAGACAACACTTTACTTTCATGTAGCTCTTTTTGGATCTATGAGCTGGTGGAGTAGCTTAAGTGGTAAAAGCACCTGCCTAGAAAGCATGAAACCCGAGTTCAAACCCCAGTACAGCCAAATAATACTAATAAAAATAATCTATTATTTTTCAATTTTAAAAAGCTAGAGGAAAACAACTTAAATATGAAAATAGCACAATTCTGTTTGTAGCAGCATCTTCTCTATAGTGAGGGAAATGAGAACTGTAGCCTGCCTAAATCTTTGGAACAAAGATGACATAGGAATGGGATTTCTATTTGGTCATGGAAATTTTCCTCAAGAAATCTGAACCTCAGGAATTATAGATCCATAATACGTCCACAGAAAGAATCAAGGGATCATGAACTTGGATGAGAAAACAAGTGCTTCTTTAATCTCCCTAACCTTAACAAATTTAACAGTTCCTTCAGTTACTAATGTAGACAACGGATGACAGTAGTACTAGTAACACCCATGAAGGGCAACACAAATCACGTAACAGTCATTGCACTTGTCAAAATATTGTTTATATTCATCACTACTTCAAATTTAACATAACCAGATCCAACTCTACATCTTGTTTTTAATGTGTTAATATTAAAAACTTTTAACATTCTGGTAACTGTATTTCAATATAGTTTTCCTGATTTTATGCATTTAAGCTGTCAATATTGAGTTTCACCAGACTGCCAAGAATCCGTGGCACAAAAAAGGTTAAGAAGTCCTAGAGCATGGTTCTCAAATCAGGTGTAACAGTTCCCATTTGGGAAGGGAAAAATCATTTTTTTTTGGATTATCTTAACTGGAAAGTTACCAGAAATTAACGGGCAGCAGGTAGACATAAAAAAACTTCCTGTTTTGCCTGTAACACTCCTGTTATAATCAAGTACAAGTTGGATGCTAATAATGTTCCAGTTGAAAACACTGTGAAAATCAAACATATGGCATAACTACCCTCATCAATTTATTTTTTCCAAACCTAAGTGTTAATACCAGATTTCACTGGTATTACTAGACTGTTTCTCTTCAATCCTCTGTAGTGTATCCCACCCACTGAAGAGATTTTCATCACTCAAATCCTTTTTCCCCCATGACTGAGTAATCTGTCTCATTAAAAAAAAAAAAAAAAACTTTGCAAAATAAATTCAACATTTAACGTCAATTATTCAAGACCAGCTGAGTATAGCAGTCACATCTGTAATCCCAGTACTGGGGAGGCAGAGGGATCACAAGTTGGAGGCCAATGTGGGCTCATAATGCAACCCTGTCTCAAAAACAAAAGAAAAAAATTTAAAAAAAACAACTGGGTGCCGGTGGCTCATGTCTGCAATCCTAGCCACTGGGGAGGCAGAGATCAGGAGCATCAAGGATCAAGGTTTGAGGTCAGCACAGCAAATAGATCTCCAGACCCTATCTTGAAAATACCCAACACAAAAAAGGGGCAGGCAGAGTGGCTCAAAATATAGAGCGTCTGCCTAGCAAGTGTGAGGTCCTGAGTTCAAAGCCCAGTACCACAAAAAAAAAAAAAATCAATTATTCAGGGTACATTTATTACTCTAATAGCTAAAGGTTTAGTTTTTTTGGCACTATTTTTAAGACCTTTAATTTCTTTGATTGTGTGTATCTAAGTTGAGGTTACTCTCTACTTTCTTGCTTTTTCTTTTCCTGTTGTTTGGTGCTGCCTGCCCTTTCATGGTTATGTTGGGTTTCACTTTCTGTGTGCGGAATCCCTTGAAGAATCTTTTGTAGTGGTGGCT